GAGCAAATGGTCAATGGAATGTGCGGGGGTCTGATTCTTCGTGAATAGATAATCAGCAAGCTCGAACTCTACCCAGCTCTTGTAGGGTGTCCAGTCATCTGGCGCCTTGTCAGTGAGTGGTGGAGGTGAGGTTCCTGGTGGAAGGAAGTTGCCTTTCAGATCACAAGGTCGAGCTTTGTAGGTACCAAATAAGATAACGTTTGAGAGAAATTGAATGAGAAAACACATACCAGACAAAAAAGGGTGATAATTTCTGTACAGCCGGCTGCTAGGGCCAAAAAATTCAGCCGTTTGTTGTGCAGGATCGTTGTTGTCCATGATTCCACCATCTTCAAAGTCCATAGCGCCAGCATCACCCAAATCCATGGTGTCAGGCAGCCCAGGACTTGGCAAAAAAGGCCTGGATGGCTCCCTCAATGTAGGTTGTTGCAGAAACACAGGGTGCTTGGCGTTCGTGTGCTGTGTGTACCCTGACCGGTTCTTAAACCAGCGGTTGCACCCTGGCTTTGTGCAAGGGATGCAAAGACCGATTGGCTCACGGTGTGGGTGGCCTGCATGTGAGTCAGTCTGGGACATGAGTTGTTGGTATTTGGAGGGGGGGAGGGTGCTCGTTGGGAGGATAGCCAGTACCAGTTCCGGATCTCTGCTTTGCGGTTAGCCTGGGGCAGAAGTGGGAAGAACGGCAAGTACCTACCTTGATACTTGAGTTGATGGTATTTGGAGTTGGGGGAGGATGCTTGTTGGTAGGATGCGCTAGTACCAGTTCAGGATCTCTGCTCTGTGGTTAGCCTGGGGCAGAAGCAGGAAGAACAGCGGGTACTGACTTTGATACTTAAGTTGATGGTATTTTTGGAGTCGCCAGGGGAGAGCTCGTCAGTAAGATGAGCCAGTACCAGTTCCAGCGCTTGAGTTGATAGTATTGGGAGTCAGGGATGGAGTTTGCTGGTAGGGTAGACAGTAGTACCTGCTCCAGTGCAGTTCTGGCAGCCACACCCTGTTGTCGTTGTGCTGAAGTATAGGCGGACTTAGAAAATGGCATGAGGTATTGAGTAGTACTACGTTACGTTTGTTTGGGTTTAGTACTTAGAAAATTGCAGTTTGCAACACTTACCTTTTAGTATTGAGGTCCACGCTCTCTTCTGCTATTTCCTATCCCCCATAACCACTATGGCCCCCCCCATTTCCCCTCGCCGTACACGCCCTGCAAATGCGACTCGACACCCTGGACTTGTGCTTCTCAAAGGTCAAAAGAAGCGACGCACCAAAACCCAGGTTGCAGAAGACAAAAGCCATGCTCTTGAAGCCCAGGCCGCTAAGGAAGCTGCCCTGCAGCGTGGAATTGATCGAATTGCAGGCATCGAGGCTGCTATGCAGGTGGGGCAGGCGGCTGAAGTGGCCAACAGGGCAAAACCAGTAAAACCCCGCACTAGACCTGTGAAGAAGAAGGAAAAGCGGCAAGATGAAACTGATGAGCTTACCTTAGAGCACCCCTCCATTCACCCAGCACAAGCCAAAGTCCAAGGTGCAGGCGGTCAGCATCCAGTTGATAGTGTGGGTGGAGGCAATGGCAAGGTAGTTGAAAATGAGCAGGCTGGGAACGAGGGAGTCAACACGAAGAAGAAGAAGAAGGTCAACCCTACAGTATCACGAGAAGCCATAAATGCGGCCACAAGGCAGATCATTGATGGCGATCTGGTTCAAGGGAAAGCTGATAGCAACAAGAAAGGAAATCTTAACCCATCAGTAATCCTTCTTCTCACAACCATGCTATTGATGCTTACAGAGTCTACACTTCGCTTCATGACCCTTACTGGGGGGCTCAGAAGTAAGAAATACAGTCTGATGGGCAAGATTCATAATTGGCGCACTCACCTTGAACCTGAGCCAAAGGCTGCTGCAAAACCTTCTCCTGTTCCCAGCATTCACACTGAAACTGTTTCTGCCGACTCTCTGGGTATTTTGTCAGCAAAATCAAGCCAAACTGTCACAACCACGGTCTCACTCGCAAAGGATCCGCCTCTTTCTTTGACAGACTCATCTGAGACTTCACATGCTCCCGCATTGGATGAAGATGGAGACAACAACATCGACATCGACACCGATGATGAAGAAGATGACGACAACGAATTGAAAGAGCATTTTGTGGGCAACACCAAGGGAAAGGCCTGGGAGCAGGTGCAGGTAAGCATTCGACAACATCAATTTTGACATGGTTCGATGCGCATTGACGATTTTAGAGTGTCGTGGCGATCTCTGGTGAACATTCAGATGATGACAGTTCCGAGATACTGCCGGTGTCGACGCCATTTAATCTATTGCCCTTCACTCAGCAAGCTGAAATAGTGCAATTTGCTCTAGAACAGGCCCAGTCAACTCGCACTGGTACTAGTTCCTCAAAGCGGCCAATCGAGGCAGTGGACTTAATTACCTCATCTGAAGAGGACTCAGACGTGGCTGATGAGGATATTGCAGATGTGTCTTATGACGCAATGGTACTCAATGCTGCTCACTTCATGTCTCCTGAGGTTGAGCCAGCACGGGTCACTACAAAGGTAAGTTTTTTTCAAGTTCAATATCTAATTCTATCAATACTGAGGTGCTCGATAGACTAGTGTAACAGTCTGCAAGAACATGAACCCACCCAAGAAAATCAAGTTGGAACCAGCTACCAAGAAGATGGATACACCAGTATCACCTGAGCCCGGTGTGATGTCCGCTGACATGATGACGAAGCCGAAAAGCGGAAACCAGTGGCAAAACACTGATCTTCCCCCACTTATGCTGGAGGATGGTATGTGGCGAAGGTCTTTTATCCCCACTGTCTTTCTGTGGGCAGGCGCTCAACCTAATTTCTGGTCCATTGAGACTGAGAAACTTCTCCCAGCGCTCCAGGCTATCTTCGATATTGCTTATCCAGGAACGAATCATAAGGTTCAACCACGCGGCCCTATTATTGGTCTAGTAAGTCTTTTATTTCTTACCTCAGACTAATGTTTCTAACTACGACTCATCCCTAATTAAAGGTGAATCAGCGCATTTGCTCCTGGCGCAGTAATTTTGGATCCACGGCCATCGCCCTTGTTGCAAATTTTCTCGCTACCTCAAAAGATAATGAGGACGACGATGACGACGATGACACTAACTTTGAACAAACGCTGGCAGCTGAACTTCTCAAGGAGTGGGCCTTCCTCTACAAGGATCCAGAGGTTCGCGACCCAGGTCAGATTTACCGGTCCGAATTCATGCTGGAAATGATCGAGGCCACTCATCTCAATGCAATTGCTGGGTTCCTCGACGTGCCTGCAATCAACACAGATGATCTGCAATTGCAGGGTATGCAGGCCGTGATTGTGGCATGTGCTGCCTCAGTAGGTCTCATTAAAATATTCTAACTCTAACTAACCATCATTTTTATAGCTCAAACGTGCTTTCAACTTTGTTGCAAAGCCCAAGGCTCTCGACGATGACCAAAGCATAGCCACTGGCAGTGCGAAGGGCAGTACTAAGTCTCGCAGAATGATACCCTCGAAACGCAATAAATCCAGTAACAAGGACGTTGGCGCGCCAGCATTTTTGGAAGCTAATTGTGGATCGGCGACGACTGATTACTACCAATCACTCACTAGGCGGGGGCCAAAGTATATGATAGACACCATCACCATGGTGCGGCAGCGCCAGGAGGCAATCCAGAAGCTCAAGAATGCTCCTGCTGAGGACGTGAAACCCAAGTGTGGGCGTGCCCTGCTTTGTTTGTATTTTTCCCTTGTTTTGTGCTCTACAACTACTGACTCATCTGACACTGGCAGAATATTGGCTGTTTGTTCCATTCCATGCTCTCTGTGCTTAGTACCGGTACCGTTTACATGCTAATACATCCCTGCTGCATTCCCCCACCCCCACTCCGATCATTGAAGCCATACTACTACCTACAAATCCACACATTCAGCGAGCTTCCTGCATTCTTTTGGACTACTTTTTACTTGCTTTTTCATGCTTTTGGACCCCTTTTATTGATGTGGTCAACTTTTAATGCTCAGTATCGTGCTTTTTTCAATCCGTCCCACAAAAAATAAGTGCGAAAAGCTGAGAATAAGTAGAATTTGAGTAGCGAGATCTACTAAAAAAGTCAGTACTACTTTTTTGACTTTGTGCGACAGTTGCTTGCTAAGTCGTGTGAAAAGTGGTACTTAAGTGGGTCAAAAGTGATCTCGTAATTTCCTGATGAAGAGAGAGAGTCAGTTTGGGATGAGTATATTGAGAGGCTCCAGGGGCGAAGGGTTGTTGGTGAGTGTCAATCATGCCAAAAGTCAGAGTTGAAGAAAGATGTAGAGCGGCAAATCACAGCAGCCGAGGCTATGGGACAAGAAGAGACTCTCACGAACCATGACTTGGCCGAGGTTGAAGGTGAACCAGATGAGGTTGAATCCGAGGCTGACAATTGGTGTTGTATTTTCAAGGTGCTCTCTCTACAAGAGGACTTCGCAACTGAAAAACCAATGCTTCAACACCTCATTGAGAGTCAAGGGCATGTTTGCCTTTTCTTACCGAAGTTTCACTGCAAACTCAATTCTTCGGAGATGGTGTGGGGGTACGGAAAGTATCGTGAGTCAGCTATTAATATTGTTGATACAGCTATTGATGAAAGCTTCCTAGGTTTTCATAATGCATCAGATGGTAAATTCCCGACTGCAAAAATTCTCGTTCCTCACTGTAGATAGTAGTTCCAATGAAAATCACTGGACAATGCGCTGATGCTGAATGTTTCAGAGTAACTTCCACTGAAATCGCATGCAGTTAATTTCATTGGAGCGCTGATTTTGAATTTCAGTGGAAAATCTACTGAATCGGAATTCAGCACCATACTCCAATCCTACTAGCATTTTAGCTCAGGAGATCGACCTGCTGTGGAGCTCGATAATTGAATGACCTGGCACCGTCACAGCAGAATATTCTATGACATTGTTGTGGTTTATATCGGTGTCACCATGATACATTATACAGGACTTATGGCTTAGTGGTTAGAGTGCTGCACCTATGAACACAGGGTCTTTGGTTCAATTCCCGCCATTTGCAAATTATGACCTATCAAAAGCAAATAGGGTCAAGTGAGGTTCCCACGGTCTGGTTCAATAGTTTTTGCTCGTCATTCTAGCAAGAATTCAGAGTATCTTTTCAGAGTAAAATTTCAGAGTAAAAAACGGCAATTTCAGCACCCTGATTTCAGCACCTAATACCATTATCATATGATTTCACCCAATGAATTTCACTGGAACTACTATCCACAGTGTCCTCAATGTCTTGATCTTTGTGATACCTTGACTATCCGGCGATTTTTCCGCAAATCTTGGCGCTATATGGATGCTTACAGGTACACTGCTCCTTTCTTATCAAATAATACATTTCTTGAATTTTTAAATTAGAAAAGGACTTGATGGGCGACAAGCTGCATTCGCTGTGAGAAAGTATAAGTCTCATTGACGCATTGGTATGACGGCGGAAGTCCTCGCATGTGTTAGCGATGCCGCGGCGGCGCAGAACAACTTCCTGTAGTTCTGTAGTATCATTTCTAGTCACTGGGCATGCCTCCTCGGCCTCCCAACACTGTTTTTCTCATAATGTTTCAAATTCTTGTGACGAAAATTTTGAACTTCATTTTTTTGAAATTCTGGCCAGCTAGCATTAAACTACAAATAAAATTATATAGATATACACTACTTGTGTTAGTTTTCGTCTCGTAGTAGTCGTCGTACGTCGGGGTTACCCGAGGCGTCGAAAACCTTCTTCGCACACTGTAGTTTCAACACTATTTGTGAGAGAAGAGGAGAAAAGCACAACAGCAAACTTAGTGTACAAATATCTTGGTAAACACCCAAAGGTGAATGGATTGCTTGTAGGGTGGAAATATGAACTCATAGCAGAGTTCAAGTTTATGTTCCATCTATGCCTAGTGCGAGGGTGTCTCCTCCTCCTCCATTCTTCACTCTCTTGCTGTCTGTTGGCAGTGACTCGAAATCCAGACTTGCTCCCCGATCTACCTCCTGCAAACGCTGCAGGGCTTGCTTATGCTTTAACCTCCCTAATTCTCTCTTGGTAATTCCCCCATCATTTGATCCACCATCTGGGGTTGTTGCATCATCGATACCCATGTCAGGCAAGTCCTGGGTCCTGTCCTCAGCCTCAGCTTCGAAATGCTTGGGAAGTGCCAAGAGATCAGAGTACAAGTCCAGAACTTTGAGATCAGCTTGGGTGGCTAGGATTCTGGTCATAATTGAGTCTGAAGTAGAAATGGTGCAAATTTACCGGGCAGGGTACAGGAGTTGAGCGCCAAAGCCAATGGCGAAGGATGGCTTGCCGTGAACTGTGAATAACACTGTGAGTAGCCAATCGGTTTGGTAAGAGAGAGAGTAGGTAACATTGTCCGGTGTCCGTCGCAGTACTTCGACCAGATTCGAGTCATCACCTTCGCCCTTACGGCTCCGGCTTCCTTGTGAAGGTCGATCAGCATCTAGTAAAACCCAAACAGACCCATCGTCTTCCAGGGTGAAGTCAATGATAGGTTTATAAAATGGCTCGTGTCGTATACAAGTCTCGTAGTTGTCGTCCATTGAAAACCAGAAGATAGCAGTAGCCCTGTCCGATATCACTAGCTGGCACGATATGCGACATATAACACCTACCCGACCACACTGAACACGATTCTTGGCGCTAGCGAGGGGATAGATGCTACCCTGTGCACCACAAATACAACCTCGCTATCCTCTGTCGACGCTTCTCCAGGTCGTCCCTCAGGCACAGCAGAATCTTGGCTTTCTTCCACGTCCCCGTCGTCAGCACTTCGTTTTTTCTTGCGTTTCCCTTTATTCTTTCTTCGTCCTCTTTTTCCTTCAGTTGGCTCTATATCCTCGTCTTCACCCTTCCATTCCCTTTTCTTTTTAGGCGCCTTTACCGCGATGAAGGGTTGAACGGCAGAAAAGACATCGATGTCACGCAGTAGTTTCCCGCTCATCCAATCCCATATTTTTAATACGGAATCCCCACCACCAGAGATGAGCGTCCCTGGAGAAAACGATGGAATATGAATTGCAGAAACGTATCTGAATCATGTGGTATTAGGGTTTCCGAGCTCAAAGAGAACAAGGTTTCGCACTTTTGATGACCGAGGCAGTAGCTCTCGATCGTGTATCCCTGTGGGTACCAGCTGACTCTGATATGTTCGTCCCTATCGGCAGTCACGATGTACTGCCCGTCGGCGGTCACCAAAGATGCAGTCAGGAGGGAAGCGTGACCAAGAATGAGTTCCCCGCCAGAGGGATTTTCGTGAGATGACAAAGCGTCGCCCGTGTACCCATTTGATGATTCGTTTGAGCTTGGATGCAGCTGATAACTAGGGAACGGCAAGTTACTGTGAGATATTGTTTGATGTTGAACATTCTTACCGGAATATGTCACCGAACTTGTCTGCAACAAGTATGTCGTTGTTATCCGCAAAATTAATACATGTTGGCTTCTTTGGAAGCCCCCTGCTGCCTTGAGGACAGCGAAAAGTTGGAGAGTTAGAAGCACATACCTTGAACTGAGGAGTTTTAGATCATCAACTTGCCAGGTCTTGAGCTTTTTATCATCTCCTGAAGTTGCGAGGTACTTTCCGCAATCACTCAATGCGGCACAACGGATGGGTCCTGATGCGATTTGATCTTCTTTGCATTTCACGGTTGAATGTAGGACATCACCCGTGCTGAAAAGTATTAAGTGTCGGCATGTGAACAAGAAAAACCTGCTACTTAGTGTCAAGGACTTGTATGTGAGGTCCTGCGATGACGATAGAGTGCTCTGACTGCCAAAATAAACGGGTGTAAGGGTATCGAGACATGTCGAACGTTGAACCTCTCGAAGATTATGATCGGTCCCGAGTAAGAGCATCCGATGATCCGAGTACCGATGGCCCGACATGCAACTTTTACTTGAAGCTTGAACGGTAAACAATTTCTTCTCGGACTCAACTGTCTTCCTTCTATTTGGCCTAGAGGAGGCTGAAGACTGCAACCAGTTTTGAAGACGTCGTCATTGCGAATCATGCGTACCGCGATTCCAATCACCTCTCGTCCCTTGGACCTAGTCTACTTCGCCTTTTTCCTGGTGCGTCAAATCAGCTGTTAAACATCCTACATACTTGACGGAAATAGGTTCATATACCCGCAACTCTGCTCATTGATCTGCAAGCCCTGTATCCTCCTTCGTTAACACCGTATTTCATACGTGCTCTCCCACAATTATATGTCCAAATGTCGAACGACCCGTTGATTGGAAGCGTCTTGGGCATGTTGGGAGATAGCAAGCCTTTCGTTTGGTTCAAGACCTTCCTTGCAGTTGAAGCGTATGAGTGTCTGACTAGAATACTGTTCCACATACTAAATCGCATCTACGTAGCCTCTTTCAACTTCCTGTCTTCGTGCTCGGAGCAAGAGGCCTTTGGCGAGGTGAGACATCCCTGAGTTGTATCTGCTCGAAATGTGAATGTGTGGCTAATCAACAATCAGATTCACGATCCATCTACGTGCTTCTCCTCATATACGCCGCATCTACTACCACCACGACTTTACCGTGCCTGTCTGTCTTGGTAACAACGCCCACAACCAGTGCGCAGACCATAACTGACAAAGTAGTTTCTGTGACAACTTCTCAACGCTTCCTGCTGTTATCGAGTTACATTCCGTTCTTCATGATACCCTTCATAATGACGATCGATATGGCTTCTCGCCTGTCCAAACTGGTCATGACAGGAATAGACGCTGCTGATGACAAGAAGTCGTCGTAATGTTATCATAATGCATTCAATGTTCCCTTTCGAACCAGGACCTTTGCATTCTCTTTCCAAATTTCACTGGCTTTAGGTCTATCGTCGGGTATATTTGAAACGTGAATTTAGAATAAGTGTGCAGATGTTAGGCTGGTCATTACCATTCGATTTGAGCGCCTGGGTAAACAATGAGCGATCTGGTTTATGGTTTTGATATTGATTGGCGAGAGCTGTGCATACCGTTCCGTTTAATCATGAAGCTTGCCTCATTGAGATAGGTAAAATGTGTACTGTATCCTGCACCAACCTGACCTGGAGAAGAAGCAGCACCTGAAACTTGACAGTGATCCCTGAGGCAATAGAGGTCGCTTGGGCCCGAGAACTTTGCTTATGAGCGGCTGCTTTTCTCTGCCACCGGTCAAAAGTCGGTGAAACACACAGCTCAAGAGACAAATATCGAATTCATTCACCAACAATGATCGTATCGCCGGCGCCAGCCCCCAACTTGCTTATTTCTGCCATGTTTTGTGTCCATCAAGTGAAACACAAACTAATCTTTTTATTTCATTTTGTGCTGGCAAATGACTGATCAATGAAAGTACAGTAGACATGCTCATAATGCATACTGTCGGGACCGCCAATAGTTTATGCATTATGAGAGATATGCAACACCACATATGTCACATTTATGTGACGCATGTGACCTCCGCCAAAAGTGTGACTTCAAATTACCTATAGTATCTGCTGATTATACCGAGAAAAATTGTTCTAGAGAGGTCTGTCTAGCGTTAAGTAGTTCTTCTCGTCGTAGTTGAGCACGAAATGTACGAAGTGAAGTTGTGATAGACGAGAAGAGCATTCAGGTGAAAGAGCTGAAGTTCGAGCAGTGTCCTTCGTGATGATTTTCCGCTGTTTCACAGGTCAATTGCATGCTGTGGGCTTATCGCGGGGTTTATGCTTCGAGTTTAGGGACATTTTTGTGTATGATACTGTTGTAATTGCTCGCTAGCTTCTATACATAGTTCAAAGAAACAATGCCGCACAAGCGGAACAATACATTTATGCAGCACCTTATGTCCCACCCTATTAATTTCGCACTTCATAATGCATACAAGCCACGCCGAGGCCATGCATTATGCAATATGCAATATGTATACAATTACATAGGAACATCATCGGGATCCTGAAAAGTCCATGCATTATGAGATTTATGCATTGTTACACTATGCATTATGAGTATGTCTACTGTATAGTTCATCGACATCGTTCAACTTTC